CTTTCGAAGTATGGGAAAACGTGGTGATGAAAATTGAACGTATACATAGGTAGGGCTAAGATGCTTCTTCATTCATTCTATGTTATCTTAACTATAGTACACGTGGACGTTTTACACGTCGAGGACAAAAAAATAAAGATAAAAACGTCAAAAATGCGTTTAATTTTTTCTCCTTGGTGAGTTCACAATTTTCGCAAACATACATATACACACTACTCTCCTCACTTATAGACTCACCTCTACTCACATAGACTCGCCAGTATTTTCTTCCCTTCAAATTGACAAAAATGTTACCACATATTTATCGACCGTACCAGAAAAAACAGTCGCATCCTTTGCATTAATGGATAAATGTTAAAAAATAAGAATTTTTGTTACTAGGTTTTGTTTCTTTTTTTAAAAAATTAGGCCTGGGTTTGTAATTAAAAAGAAATTAAACAAAAAGTGGTACTCGAGTCTGAAACGTTTGAGAACCACTGGTCTAGATGGTAGCAAGTAAGAAATGTTAGGGTTAGGTTTGTAATTAAAAATAAATTAAATAAAAAGTGGTACTCGAGTCTGAAACGTTTGAGAACCACTGGTCTAGATGGTAGCAAGTAGGAAATGTTAGGGTTAGGTGACGAAATCATACACCGTAACAGTCATGGAAAGCTCGGGTAGGACTTATTACAACACATTTTATGATTTGTTATATTAATTGTGTCGTGTACCACCGACATTAGCTCCTCGTACCACCAGTGGTACGCGTACTACAGCTTGAGAATAAATGCTCTAGACGGTACCGATTGGAAGTTGAACGATAAAACCGCACCCCCGAAACGGTGGCGCACAATATGGTCATGTTTTTATATTTCTATTATCGTACTCGTGAACGCTTGCAATTTAACGTCACAACTGAATAGGTTCAAGGGATGGTAAAGTTAATAAGTCTCGAACTTGTCGCAACTATTTAACTTCTAAAGATAATACAATCTCTCTCCAGATTTGGTTTGTCTGTTTGTAATGAAGCACAAAGCTACACACCGAGCTCTCTGGGTTCTGCCCACCACGGGTGTCAAAACCCGGTTTCTAGCGTTGTAAGTCCGCAGACATCCCGCTGTGCCACTGGAGGGGCAGATTTGGGCTGACGAAAACAAAATTGTTTTACAGCTTTCATGTTATCTTTAGTGTATGATTTGGCGTACGCAAGAAGAAACAGTAAATCATCTAATTTTTACTTTAAAACATAAATAGCTTTGTTTTCGATTAATACTTACCTACCTCACTAAAGTAAGAATCTCCTCGAGAAATAACGAACTTTAAAACAGACCACAGAAAGTAACCGAAGAAGTAACAAAAAGCAGGAATTCAAGATTCATAAAATATTTACAAACCTATAAAACTAGAACTTTGAGTAACCGAAAGTTTCTCTTCAATTATTCTAATGTGGAAGAATATTTGTACAAAACATTCAACGAAGTGAACGTAGAAAACTTCTTCTTTGTGCTGTTTATTCATAAACGTATTGCTTTTATGAGAAAACCGTACTCCAATTTTTGTAGAATTACAATCGGGAATAAAGTAATTTGTAGAAGTAAATGCCCAACAGAAAATAACATTTACGTAGTTAAATAACCCACATAAACCCTCCATACTCGAAAGAAAACACGTTAAAAATCTGATGTTTTGTTAATTGAATTACCGTACACACTTCAATTACGGAGGTTAGATACTCTAAGAACCTTATTTCCCACCCACCTACCCCCCAATGTATTTATAAAACAGTTCTAAGTATTTCGAGAAATTGTCTGTTCACCAATCATCAAAATGTGATGTTAAAAGTACATGCTCTACTACATTCCATTTTCCTAACTTCTTTTTTTTTTTACGTGAGACCACACTGACTGGTGAACATATGTTGTTTACCCCCCCCCCCCCCCGTAATTACTCTACGTTTCCGGTTACGCAGAGAAATGTGTAATTTCGTCAAATTTTCCTCTGAATGTGATTGGTGAAATAACTGACCACACAAATGTAAGAAATGTATCGATTTGGCTTGTTCCATGGTGGTCCCCCCCCCCTCCATTTTACTGAACAAGTCTCCGGATGAGGTATCCCCCCCCCGAAACTGTACCCGATTCGAAAACATCCCTCATATTTAATTTCTCAGAATTATTATGAAGTCTGCAGTAGAAATACGTTGGAAGTTAACATTATGCTAGTTATTGACACATGTGGTGGACATGTTGTTACCAGTTATTGACACATGTGGTGGACATGTTGTTACCAGTTATTGACACATGTGGTGGGCATGTTGTTACCAGTTATTGACACATGTGGTGGGCATGTTGTTACCAGTTATTGACACATGTGGTGGGCATGTTGTTACCAGTTATTGACACTGTGGTGGGCATGTTGTTACCAGTTATTGACACATGTGGTGGGCATGTTGTTACCAGTTATTGACACATGTGGTGGACATGTTACATTCTTCTTTCACTGACCTTTTTTTTTCTTTTTTTAAAACAATAGAATCATAGAAATACAGTAAGCTTCTCCTGTATTACCTGCTTCTGGAATTATCGTGACAAAGTTTTTAAACAAGCGTTCCTAGTTTAATATGATAACTTTAACTTATGTGCTCAAGAATAACAACGCACACAAACCCAAAGAGATTCGGAATAGCTTTTAGCTGTCGAAATGTAAAATACTTAATTTTTCTAAAGGCTCACAATGGAAATTACTTCTAAGAATGAAAACGCATAATATAAACGTATATGGTACACGCAACTTCCTGAGCATGCGCGCTTGCATTATATGTGTCCCCCCCCCACCACCACCACCAACAATTTCCTTACTTTCGGGATCGGTTAGAGTTGCCCCGCCCCTTCCCTAGAGCAAGGTAGAGGCAGGGTTTGACACCTATGCTGATATCTTCATCGTACTGCCCCCTAGAGTTATGCTGGTGAGGAGATGCAATTACTGTGTTAAATTATCACTACAGGTAGAACCTGTTATATAGCAAGCGCCTTAACTACCTGCTCATTAGGATTCTGGCGGAACAACTAACCCTAATACAGGAGGAGATGCGTGGTGTCTTGTTGTTTAACATAAGCACGGGAAATAATTTAAGGTTGTGAATGGGGTCTGAAAGTCACACACCTCCCTCGTCCATGTTGCTTATGTCCAGTAGATAACAAGGTGCTATGTTAGGCTTAGCCTAAGCAATAAGTGTGTCTCAAGTACACTGTATGTATCCAACTTGTGGAACACAAAATTAAAAGTAATATTAGGATATTGAACTTCACATTAAGGATAGCAAAATAACGATCAAACATTACTTAAAGAAAGCCCTGACGCGATCAGACACCACTTCCAAAGAGGTGTGACGCGATCAGACACTACCTAAAGAGAGGTCTGACGCTTTTGGTTTCATTTGTAATGCTGACGAGATATTAGCATTAACAAAATAAATTGCTAGGAATTGAATTGTATTACTGAAAACAAGCATGTCATAAAATAAATAAATGTATCTGTAAAAACAAAAACGGAGACATGAATACAAATGATGCACTAAAATATAAACCTTTCAGGTCAAAGAAAACGAAACACTTAAAAGTGAGCCAGCTTACTGTTGCCTTGACCTATGAAACATGTATAAAAGGTAAAAAGACAACCAACAGTTTCTTCACCACTACCAGCAATTGTTTACATATAAAACTTTCACAACAGGATAACGACAACACAGACTAAACAGCAGAAGGCACGCATGCGCTTCTACTATCTGGTTCCAGCTGATGTAAAATATGACATCCCGTGTGATTAACACTGATAATGAAATGGTTATTAACACTGATAATGAAATGGTTATTAACACTGATAATGAAATGGTAATTAACACTG